ACACAGACTCAGAAACTCCATTTCCCACTCCATTTCTCCTGCGGTCAGCCCAGGCTGTCTTGAGATTAGCTGGGATGGCAGAAATGAAGACTTCTCAAGGGCCTCCTCCATGGTCTCCCATTTTTCTCACTTACTCCTTCCTATCAGCAACCTCAACCATAGTTCCTGGGATGCTCCGGGCACAGGGCCCAGCTCCCTCCCCAGGACCCTTACCAGCACGCTACACTTAACAGTTTTCAAATCTTGGGTAGAGATATCTGCTGCTCCCATTTTACAGAGTAAAAAATTGAAGCCCAGAGAGGCAAAGTGACCTGTCCCATTGGGGACTCACATCCTGAACCGTGGCTCCAAATCTTGACCCCTCCGAGGCGCAGTCAGTTCTACGTCTCTTCCCCTCCTGTCCTGCATGGCGCCCCTCCATGCTGTGCCTCTGCAGTCTCTAGGCATAACCAGGCAGAGGACGGCCCAAGACCCCCATGGCTGTCCCTACCCGACTCCAGCCTGCAACAGTCAGAGCAGTAGCGGCTGCAAGTGGGCGCATGCGCTCAGGAAGCGCCTGGCCGGAGAACTCACCCAGGAGCCAGCGAGCATGGAGCACCGAGCGTGGACCGATGTGCTGGAGCAAATGCCAGCTCTGGTGCAGTCTCTCAGAATCTGAGGAGGCAGCAGACGAGGAAACGGAGAAATCTGAGGAGGGGAAGTAACTCCCCACAGCACAGAACTGGTAAGTGGCAAAACGAATCCCGAGAACCTTCCAGCGCCTGTCCCTAACGCTGACTCAGCCCCTACCCAAATACGAGCACGGAGAAATGGATACCATCACCCTGGTAGCCCAGGACAGCTGGGAGGGTTGACTGAGATGGCATTTCAGAAAAGCATGCAGGAATGGCCATTTCTTCTCCTCCCCTACCCCACCCCAGCCCCGCCAGGCCTCTCTGGAGTCTGGGGATCATCCTCTTCCTGCTCTCTGTTAGCACAGGGAGCGATTCCTTGGTTTTCTAAGTAATGCCTGGAACGCCCAGCAAGAAGCTGAGGCCGGGGCCAGCTGGTGACGAGGTAGTTAAGGCAGCTGGATCCCACATGACCACCAGCTTGAAAGACACACTAGGCGCGTTTGTATGGGTGCCCAGAATCCCAAGAGGAGCACCAAGTAGGGATTGCTGCGTGGCCATCCTCCTGGGGGTGATTTCTCTCTCTGTCTTTCTCTGTGTCTCTCCAGTAACCACAAAGAACTTAGAGCATTTTTTTTTTTTTTTTTTTTAAGGAAACTGAGACCCTGGGACCAGCAGATGGTGTCACGGTTGCATTGCTGGACTCCCATAGTCTACCCCTATTCGAGTCCTGGACCCATGACTTAAAACTCATGCCAGGCACGTATGCGTGCGTGCCCAAGATCCCGAGAGGAGAATGGAGGAGAAGGGATCGCAGTGTGGCCATCCCTGGGGGGGTGGTTTCTCACTTTCTGTCTCTCCAGTGAGTATACACACCCTATACCAAAAATCTCTCTTAAAAAAAAAAAAAAAAGGAAAGTGGAAACCCTAAGATTAATTAATGGCTTTGGTGTCTGTGTCTCCAACCCCATGGACCCAGAGACCCATCACCCCAGGAACTAAGGGTGGCTGCTGAGATAGAGGGTGACGTGGGAAGAAAGGCTGAGCCCGAGTTTCCACTCCCCTCCTCAGCTCCGATCTATCCTTAGCTTGGACTAGATCAGAAGGTGGTCAATGGGGCTCTGCCTAGGGGCGAGGACGAGCCTGGACTGGCCCTCCCCATCTCTTGGGCTGGCTATGTAATTCCTCCTCCTCTTCTTACATTTTAGTTTGTTTTGGTTTTTACCATAGGGCATGTGGGCTTTCCAGAGAGAGGGAAGTGAGAAATCATCCCCCGGGGGGATGGCCATGCCACAATCCCTTCTCTGTTGTCCTCTCAGGATTGTGGGCATGCACACACATGCACCCCACACGTTTTTCAAGCCACCGTGTCTGGGACTGAAATCACAAAGTCAGCCATGTAGGATCCAGCCCCTTAACCTCATTGCCACCTGCTGGCCCCTTAAATGAAGTTTTGACTTATGGTATTTTGAACTTATGATGAGTTTATTTGCTATAATCTCATCTTAAATCAAGGGACATCTGTATTTACCGATGTCTCTGCTTAGGTGACGCTCAAGGCACATGCGCATATGAAACCAAGTGCCCACTCCCGAGGCACCTGCACTCTAGAAAGGGGAAGCTAGTTCTAGTTCATGAGTAACTGTTAGAGGTCTGGCAGTGATGAGAACTGTAGAGAAATGTAAAGGAGGGGCAGAGAGCGGGGGCTGTCATCTCAGAGGGCTGAGCATCTGGATCTGCTGGATCCCCCCACCTCCTATCTCTCTTTGGAGAAGCCCATGAAGCCTCGAGTAGACGCCGCCTTGGCCTCGAGCCCCCCTCTGTGCCAGGCCCTGCCTCAGAGGCTCTCAGCAGCTGGCCAGGGTCCGAAGCCAGGAGCCCTGGGGTCAGGCTGCTCAGGACTGCCAGGACTGGGGTCAGAGCATCCTGAGCGCACCTTCCTCCCTGGGCCCTGGGGAAGCCGTCTGCAGGCGCGGTGAGGGAGCGTGCCTCCCAACAACCCCGAGATCCTGTTGTAGAAGGGAGTACGCTGGGCCCAGAGAGGGCAAGGGCTTGCCTGGGGCACGCAGAGGGCCAGCTCCTTAGAGACCAGCTCTGCCGCAACACTCAGCCATTGAGTGTCACACACCAGAGGAGCAGGAAGCCTGTGCCCTCGGTCAGCACCTGGTAAAGGAGTGTGAGGTCTCCTCCATCGGGTAGCTCCAGCCTGCCTCGTCCTCTCAGCTCTGACAGGCCAGTTCTCATACTCCAAGCTCCAAGAGGCTTACAGCATTCTCCTCTAGCCCAAGCTCCGGAGAGTGCTGGTTAACTCTGTCTCGACTTGCTATGTGACTTGAAGCAGCTCCTATCCCTCTCTGAACCTCAGCTCCCTTATCTGTCGAGAGGAAGAATTGAGGCACCTACATCTCACGGGTGTCACGAAGAATGAGCAAGACATTGGCAAGAAGGCAGTTTGCAAACTTTCAGGCACCACCTGGGTGACGGGGCTGTACACGCTCATCTGAGAACCAGCCTGGCACACCTGTGGGCCCGGAGGCCGTTCCAGAGCAGGCCCTCGACCCTTGATGGGAAATAAGTGGTAATTCCTCTGAACCAGCTCTTCAGAAAGACAAAGCCACTTTTTCTCCCAATCAGCGGCAGCAGCTGACAGGAAGGGCCCTCCTCTGTCCTCACGGTGAGAAGATGAAGAGGGAGAGACGGGAAAGGGACAGGCTGGCAGGCCTGGAGGGCTTGTTCCGGGAGGCAAAGGGCGTATCCCCAAGGGAACTGTGGGAACCACCCACCCTTACCCCAGGCCTCGGGCTGGGTGCAGACGCAGACGGTAACTGTACGTGTCTGTGTGCCACACACACGTCCGCCTGGGATCTTGCCAGTCACATGCGGGCCTGCCCCGGAAGACACAGTGTCCTCCCACGTGCACATGTGTGTGGAATGACCCCAAGCGTCATGTGTGTCCATGTGAGAGGCTGGGAGTATGCGCATGTTCACATATGTTGTCTGCCTGTGCCCGCTCCTGAGGAGTCCTGCCAACTTCAGGCCGTGGGCCTTGTTCTCCCAGGTGTGTTGATCTGAGCCACAATCCCAAACTGGCCCAGATGCCTTGGGAGGTTGGTGGGGTTACCAGGCACTGTGGGCTCTCAATTTTCCCAGGAACAAAAGCAGTTGCATAAAAGGAGGAGGAACCCTTAGGGGATTAGCCAAGGCTCAGGGCTCAGGCTCCCCCAGTTCAGGCTGGAGTGTAGACTCCTCCCAGGGATGGGAGTAGGAGTGCGGGGTGCCCATGGCTAAGAACCCATCTCTCGGGGTCCTTAACCCCTCCATCGCCTGTGGTCGCTGACCCTCCACAGCCACCCTCCTGCCCTCAGTGGCCGCCAGGAACCATCTCGCTCCTGTACAGTAAGTCGGACACTCTCCGGACCATCTGCATGTCCGTGTTGGGTAATTCTCACCACCAGCTGACCAGGGTGGGCTTAGACCCAGGCCCCAGGCCCAGGCAACTGCTGCTAGCTCAGTCTTAGGGTTCCCCTCCTTGCCTGTGCTGGGCTCACCGTTCCCTGGGTGGTCTCTCTCGCATACCTGAACCTCAGTTTCCCCAGCTATTCCTGCCCCCATGAGTCAGGGCTGAGAAGGGTTTCTGCAGCCAGCGATGAGCCACTAGCAGGTGGGAATGGTTTTGTGTGCACCCCAGGCATTCAAGGCCACTGCCTGTGGGCCCCTCACTGCCCCCAGGAGTCAGGAGGGAAAACACGACCCAAATCCTTTGTCTGAAACAGACCACCGTCTCCAGTCTGCAGATGTGGGCCCTTGTGATTCAGATCAGCTCCTAAAAGGGGCTGAGTTGGCCCACTTCAGACTTGCAGGCAGCATGCCAGTGGCCTCTCCAGGCAGGGGCAGCCTGGGTCCCTTGCTGAGTTTTGGCTTTCCTTCTCAGCACCCTGAACACCTCGCCCTGTCCAGGGTCTGGGGTCTGCTGTTTGCCATTGTCAGAAAGCACCCAGGGACCACAGAGACCTGGCAGAGGAGGAAGGAGCACGTGCAATGGGTAGAACCCCACATCGGTGCCTGCACTGCACACCCAGACCCCCACACAGCTCCATGTAACTCACACAGGCCCACGTGTGTGCACATGCCTGAGCACCTGCCACACTAGGGCACACTGCCCACAGCATGCACACAGGCACCACGTGTGTGTGCACCACATTCGGCCCAGCGGGACCAGGGAGCTCTAACACATCTCAGCCGCAGGTTGCATGTGAACAACTGTCAGAACCAGGAAAGATGGGGGAAGAGACACGTCCTCAGACACCCAGGCCCTTCCTCTGCTCTCCCAGAGAGGTTGAGAGGTTTTCCTGGCTCACTTTCTCCCCTGGCCAGAATACTGAAAGCAGGCAAAGGTCTTTTGGGAGTGTGGACCCTGACTTGCCCGGCCAGCCACGAGTTCTTTTTGTCACTGGCTCCAAGTGAGGCTTCAGGCTAATCACTCTGGATTTTGGAGTTCAAAGGGGATGGGGGAGTTTTAGAGGAAATGGTCCAGGACTGGAGAAGCCCTTGCTTCACTAGGTTTTTGGTCTATTCCTTCAGATAATTTTTGTATGGTTGTGGTGGTTAAGGTGGACACTCCCATGTGGCCGACAACAGTAGGATTCCTGGGCATGGTGGCTTGCTTTTTCACTTTCCCTCTCTCTCTGTGTCTCTCTCTCTCATCAAATTAAAAAATAAAGTGAATAAATAAATAAAATTAAAATAGATCATTCTTTTAAAAAAGAGAGAGAGAGAGAGTTTTGCTGTAAGGCACATGTGCTCGCCAGAGAGACAGAGAAAGACAGAAAGCAAGAGGTCATTCCCTAGGGGGAATGGCCACACCATAGTCTCTTCTCCATTCTCCTCTAGAGATCTTAGGCACACACACCCAGTGTGAGTTTCAAGCCACCAGGTCTGGGACTCGAACTATAGTCCCCCATGTGGGAGTCCAGTGACGTAACCATTACACCATCTGCTGGTCCCCTTTGGTCCATATTAATTGAGCTCTTCAGACTGTTGGTGACCCACTGGGGAACAGAGAATCATGGCTCTTGTCCTCAGCTCAGCTCAGAGTCCTGTCTACCTAGAGCTTCAAGGTGGGGGTCAGGGGCCAGCAGATGGCATAGTGGTTATGTCGTTGGACTCCCACATGGCTGACTGCAGCTCAAGTCCTGGACCCAGTGGCTTCAAACTCAAGTCAGTTGCATGTGCATGTGTGCTCATGCCCAAGATCCTGGGAAGAGAACAGAGGAGAAAGGATCGCACAGAGAAGCTCTGACCTAGAGCATTCCACACAGAGCCAGCCTCTTCTCCTACCAGTCCTCAAAGATGGCTAAGGCCCCTTTAGGCTAACTGTG